CCCCAAAACCCCAAAACCCCAAAACCCCAAAACCCCACAATCATAAAATTTGAATATTTGGTAAATAAATAAAACATCATAGAATCAAATCATTTATTCTTATTATCTACTTTGAGTAATGTCTCTTTGCATTTGTTATTTTCAAATCTCTTGATCATTATCTAGCTTCCATCTTTTGGAATAATCATCGAAATGCCATGATTCTCGCCTTTTATAAATTATCCTACTTAAATATTTCCATTCTTACTTATGAATACTCCTAAACCTTGTAACATTCCATTAGACCATTGACCATAGCATTAAGTATCATTACTCCATTTATACAAACCAAGACCTTCTATATTATCATTTATGAAATATCCTTCGTAAAAATCTCCATCATCCCAAAATCTTTTACCGTAACCATGACATTAGAAATCTTTAAGCTCTCCTATATAGTAATTTCCTATCGAATTTATTTCTCTGCCATTTAGTTAATTATCTTTCCAGACACCCTCCTATATTGATCCCTTTGGATATAATAACCTGCCTCTTCCATCTGGCTTTTTGGTACTTTAATCAATTTCTCCTTGGTACTCTTTATCACCCAGCATCAATAATCAAGTAAAGATTCTGTGAGGATTAGGATGAATATTTGAAAGAGCGGGATAGTTAAATTCTCCTAATTAATTTAGAATTTATTTGACTTTTTCATTAGTTGATTAAAGAGTGATAGAAAAAGCTTTTTGCTACTAATCATCTCCTTTTTCTTCCTCTTCTATATGATTGTTTAGAGGTTTTCCCATAAGTATATACAAATCAGAGAGAACTTCAAGTGCCTGTGGTCTATCCAAAGGTTTATATCTGAGCATCTTGTTAAGTAATGTCTCAAATATTTTCCTATTTTCAGGAAGTGAGATTTGAGATGAAGGATCTTGCGTTTTAATTTCAGCCAATCACTTATTTTATGTTCCATACGAATATTCTTCAGTACACAAATAGTAAAGAATAACTCCTGCTGACCATATATCAACTTAGTGGTTGTAACTATATTCTTCATCTTAATTTATTTCTGGTGCTTTAAAGTACAGTTTGCCTGTATAAGCGATTGACAAACCATTTGGAGTGGCTAGTCCGAAATCGCAGAGTTTAAATTTAGTTCCATTATCAAAAACAAGTATATTGTCAGGACTTAAGTCTCTATGCATTATATTTTGGTTATGTAGATAATTAGTCCCTCTCATTATCTAGACCATTATATCCATGATTTTATCGTTGGTGATTCTTGAATTCGCCTATCTATAAGATTTAAGGTCATTCTCAGCTAGTTCAGTTATTATTACAAATTAATCATCAAATGTGAAGTATGATTCGAAGAATTTAGTGATGTTTGGGTGGCATAAGTTGAATGTATTTATCTCTCTGAAAAGTCTTATGATTTCATTACTATAGTTTCTGGGGATTTTAGTAATAAGCTTATTTAAATCTTGAGTTTTCATAGCATAGTATTTCTAGTCTTTGGTATTTTTAACTTTACATACTGATCCAAAAGCACCGCTTTAAATTGGAGAATCAAATTAGTACTTATCCCATAAACATTGAACTGATAATGATACATATTTTTCCATTTTTATTTAATTTTATGACTATTTAATAATTAAAAATCCTCATTATGGGGTTTTGGGGTTTTGGGGTTTTGGGG